TTGTGCTACCGGAAGTGGCTGTGGTGGCGCGCGGTGGATTGTGGGCATTGTGCCTCCGCGTGAGGGTGCGCGGCCGGGCGGTGAGGGGGTGAAGGCGGTAGGTAACGGCTGATGGGCTCGGGAGAGGCGAGCGGTGCTCCTCATTGCGGGCCCTTGTTTATCGGGAGGGAGCGGGGTGCTGCGGCCGGGCAGCGCGTGTCTCGGGGGAAGGTTCTGGCGCTGCCGGGCCGCGCTGAGGCTGACTGTGCCGGAGCTGCCGGTGGCACTAGCCTGAGGACTCCGAAACGCTCGTACTCTTGCTGACATCGTTCTTAAGTGGTGCTTTAAAACGTAGAATGCCCTAGTTCTGCGGGACGTACAAGTTTGAGGGCTGACTGATAGTGAAACTGTTTGAGGTGCTGTTCGGTATTGATAGGGATCATTTAAGGGCTGTATCTGCAGACAGTATAGTCTTTATAGCTGCATATGGTGAGGTCGCACCTCTAATACTGTGTTCAGTTTTGAGCCCTTCACTACAGGAAGGTCATTAAGGTGCTGGAGTGTGTCCAGAGAAGGGCAATGAAGCTGGTGAGGCGTCCGGAGCACAAGCCATATGAGGAGCAGCTGAGGGAGCTGTGATTTTTTATTCTGGAGGAGGCTGAGGGGAGACCTTATCGCTCTCTATAACTATCTAAAAAGAGGTTGTAGCGAGGTGGGAGTCAGTCTCTTCTCCTAAGTAACTAACAGCAGGATGAGAGGAAATAGCCTCGAGCTATGCCAGGGGAGAGATAGATTGGATATTAGGTAAAATGTCTTTACTGGAAGAGTGGTCAAGCATTGGAACAGGGTGCCCAGGGAAGTGGAAGAGTCACCATCCCTGAAGGTGTTCAAAAAATGTGTAGACATGACATTTTAGGACACAGTTTAGTGGGCATGGTAGTATTGGGTTGATAGTTGGACTTGATGATCTTAAAGGGCTTTTCCAACCTGAATGATTCTGTGATTCTGTGATTTCCATTATTACAAGCTAAGATTTGTGGCAAAGGCTGTAGTAGTTACAGTATTATTTGTGACTCATTAAAATGCTACATGTGCTTTTAGAAAGTATATAGGTGTAGGTTAGAATTCTAACTTTGCTTCCTTAATTTTTTAAGTTATGTTTCTAAATCTATGTTAATCTATGTTTTTTTAATCTGTGGGGTTTTTTTTTTCCATACTGTAGATGTCCAAGTCTTCAACAGCATCAAAAATGTCACGCCAAGAGGAAATACTGAAAGATGGGCGGTTTAGCTGCATTACTAGGGATCCCAGGTTTTGGGAGATGCCAGAAAAAGAACGTAAAATCAAGATTGACAAACGATTCCGAGCTATGTTTCATGACAAGAAGTTTAAGCTGAAATATACAGTGGATAAAAGAGGTCGCCCTGTTAGCTATACTTCTACAGAGAACCTCAGGAAATTTTATGCCCTGTCGGAATCTGACTCTGATCTTTCAGAAAATGATAGTAAAGAACATACTGAAAAGATAAAAAAGAAAAAGAAAGCTAAACCTAAAGGTGAAGCAGATTCTGCAAGACTACTTGCCGATGGTCTCCCTAAGGAAGAGAGCAAAATAAAAAATCAAGGAGGGGACCAAACTTGTGAAGCGGTGTCAAAACTAGATAGCCTTAAAAATGAAGGACAAAAAATTACATCTAAATTCAACTTGAAAGAGGACTCTAAGAAAAATGCAGCAGAAATTAATCACACTCAGGGAAACAAGGGCTTTTCACACAAAGGCAAAAACAAGCAAGGAAATGCATCAGGAGGAAGATCAATTTCAATTCAGACCAAGCAAAAGTCTTTGCAACCAAGTGGTACTAAATCAGTTAAAGGTCCCAGAAGGGATTATTCCCTAGGAGGAAAAATAAAAGAACCAGGTTAGTTGTTCAAATAGCAACTAGAATTTGGCTATGTCTACTTGGATGTTGTTGCTTTTGTTTTATTCATGGAAAATGTTTTGCAAGTTCAGTCATAAAATAGCTGACTGACTTGGATTCAGTGGTGCTGAAGAATTGCAGTTGGTCAGCTCTTTCCAGAATCAGTGCCGATTCTTCAATAAGAGTGGGAACATCCATGTCCTGTTAATCGTTGGAGCTAGAATTGTGGATTGGGGGATGGTTATAAGAGTAAGATGTATAGTAGCATATACTTTATTTATTGAACTGAATATCAAATATAAGGTGTGATACCATGGAGGTTTCAATATATCAACACTTACTGACTGAAAACATGAGGGTGGCAGCGCCAAGCCATTAATATAAGACGGCATTAGAGAGAACAGATGACTTGAAGAAAATCTTTCTTTATATTGCTTATGCATGCATATATCCTACATTATTGGAATCTAATTTGTACTTGCTAATTCTATACATATAAATGGAATAGCAGAATAGTATTTTCTGCAAACTGGAGATTGATAATGCAACTGTGGGCTTAAAGAGCCAATTCTGCTTATTTATGTTGTTTGTACTTCCCTGATGTAATTTGTTCTTGCATCATCATGCATTTCGGGGGTTCTGTAAATCTGAGGTTTTTTGCTTTTTGTAAAGGATCATATGTAATTACAGCATAAAAATAGATACCTGATGTTTTATCTTTCAGTGACTGTTTGCACAGACACCTGTGATCAACGTGATGTCAGTAAAAGCCAATTAGAGGAAGACATTTTTGCAAGGGATGATTTTGAGTATGCAGAATCGGAAGAAGAGGAGCCAGAAGATGATGGAGAAACAGGCGAGGAAGAGGAGCCAGAAGATGACAGGGAAACAGGCGACGATGAAAAGCCAGGAGAGGATGAGGAAACAGGCGAAGAAGACAGTGATTCAGATGATGAAGAAAGTGATAGTGGGCCTGATTTAGCTAGAGGCATAGGGAACATTGAAACGAGCTCAGAGGATGATGAGGATTTTAATGAACTGTTTCCAAAGGAGCCAGAGATAGAGCATTCATGGCGTGAGTTAGATAAAGATGCCCCTCGTGGAGATGAGGTAACGATACTTATGCATGTGAAAAGCTGCTGCATCACAAATTTGGAAATGTACACTGTTATGAGTTCATTATAGACCTTCATCTATGAAACATTTTTTGAAAGTATTTTTCATAGAGGTTTTTCAGCCTTATAATTACAGAATGCACATTATGATGAAGTTGGCTGGGAATTAAAGACTTGCAGCTTTCACTGGTGTCTCACTTTCTCTCCTCTAAGCAGAGGCTTACCTGTAGATAGATGAGCTCTCTATAAGTGAAATAACAAACAGACTTGAGCTTTTCAGAAATTCCAGAATTTAAATAGTGCTGCTTTTGTTCACTACTGATTTTTTTTTTTAATTTCATGTTTAACTTGTGTTTTAAGAAATTAAGAAATCATTAGACAATGAAGAAGGACTTTAAAACTGAGTACAGTTAGTGTATAAGAAATCACAGTACTCTGGTGCTGTTGCAATACTGTGATGCTAGTTGCTATTGTGACTAACATAATGATAACAAAATCCTAAGTACTGATATTTTAATTGCAGTCCTAAATCTGTGTATTCTGTGGTTCTTCTCTATTTATGTTCTTTCTATTTGCTCTAGTGATTGCTGCTTCTGACCTTTGCTAGTTTAAAAATCTTTAGGAAAATGCTGCTTTTATTTTTTTCAGCAGAGTCTGTTCCTGACTTTGGTTCTATCCTTGATGAAAAACATAGAATCATATAATGTTTTGGATTGGAAGGGACCTTTAAAAGTCATCTAGTCCAACCCCCTGCAGTAAGCAGGGACATCTTTAACTAGATCAGGTTGCTCAGAGCCCCATCAAGCCTGACCTTGAGTATCTCCAGGGATAGGGCCTTCACCACCTCTCTGGTCAACCTGTTCCAGTGATCTACCACCCTCATATTGAAGAACTTTTTCTCAATATCCAACCTAAATGTACCCTTTTCTAATTTAAAACCATTACCCCTTGTCTTATTGCTACATGCCCTAGTGAACAGCTCTTCCCCAGATTTCTTATAGGCACCTTTCAGGTACTGGAAGGTTGCTATAAGTCCCCCCAGAGCTAGAGAATTTTGTATTCCCCATAGCAGTCAGAAATTAAACCAATGAACTTTATGTCGTTCTTTTCTCCCTCTTCTCTGTTCAGATTACAAGTAGATTGGCAGTTTGTAATATGGATTGGGATAGATTGAAAGCTAAGGACTTGCTGGCTCTATTTAATTCTTTCACACCCAAGGGAGGAACGGTATTTTCTGTTAAGGTAAGACCTAATTTCTAAAAGAAGTACTGTCTTTTTCTTTTTTTCTTTTCTTATTTTTTTTTATAAAGGTCTACAAAGTAAGAACAAAGACAATTCTGTGGAGAACCAGAAGAGATATTAACATGATAAATGAGAAACTGTTGTAATTCAACTTGTGTTAGAAATAAACGTGTGCTGCCTTTCAGCAAGGGGCATGTCTTTTATGGAGTTAAGAGTTGGTTAGTTGGTGTATGTTATGCTGCTACAATTTAAAATTTACTTTGTATTTGTAGATTTATCCTTCAGAGTTTGGAAAAGAGAGGTTGAAAGAGGAAGAACAAAAAGGACCTGTGGAACTATTTGATCTTTCAGAGAATACCACAGAGAATGACAGGTATTAACTTTATCTTCAGATGAGAGTTATAATATGTCTAATTCTTAGTCAAAATACCAATGAACTCCTGTTTCTAAAATTTCGTATCTGGAAGTCTCCTGTGGACACCTTAATTTCGTAGCTTTTTCATGGAATATTTCACAAATGGCCCTGGTTCATTGTCAGTGCATTGAATAAATGCATTATAAGGAAACTTGAGCAAATTTGCTTATTGATAATGGAGTTAAAGTGTTTATTATGTAGCTCGTTGGAATAATAAATGGAACAAATATGTGGAGAACGTAACATAGCATTTCTCTACAAATTGCCATTCATGCAGTAAACTCTCCTTGTTGCTTACTGTCAAAATTTTTATCTGCATAACCAACAGGGACTTTAACTTAGGCCAAGAATCCCCAGATAGAAATTTCTTGAATGCCACCAGCAGCAGGCATGTCTAATTTTTTTTCCTTTTGTTCTGCTTGAAAGTCTTGTTTATATGGAACTTTTGAGAGGTTTTGCTTTTATATTTTTCCAGAATTTCCAGATGTTTGGCAGCCTGACTGGGGCCACTTTTGTGTAATACATCCTGCTGGACTGCCCTATATTTGGAAAATCTGGATACTTTGAAAATATGTGCAGATCCCTTTGAAGAAAGTACATCAGGGAATTTTATAATGAACTCACAGTGCATGCTGAAGTCAGCTTCACTGTGTGCATCAGGGCGTATCCTGAAACGTTAGATTTACTGCTTAATGGGCTATAGAAATTCTGGAATACAACAAACAAATTCAGATATCCCAGAGATAGCCCATTGATACCTGTGTACGTACCTTTTAAATTCATGGGACACGACCTTAGCTCTGCCATCTCTCCTGCATCCTTCTGCCAATTTATGTACTTCTCAGTTTCTTTTCTGCTTCTCTTTTTTCTCTCACCTTCTGTGACACCACCACCAGCACCAGCTGTGCTACCCAAGTTAGCGTCCTGCTTCCTCACCCATACTGCTTTCTTACTTATCACTCCTGCACTGCCTCTCTCTAGTATGAAGATCTGCAACCTTGTCTGTACAGTCTCTCAGTTTCTCTTACGTTGTTAACGTGCACCCTTACTTATGTATGAACATTCTTTCTTCAGCCTTGTTAGGAACCAGGATAATTGCAAACAACTTGCTAGGAGCTATTAAATGCTATCTTCTGTGGCCTGCACAGAGCCATACAGAGATGCTACTCTGTGCTGTGCACGGGGACTCTAACCTTAAAATGCATGTGGGAAGCACAGCCGCATACAGAAAGTGTACACTTAATAAAACTCTGAATTAGTCTTTTTACTTGAGTAAAACTGAATAGATACTGATGGAACTTCATGCTGGTTAACATCTGATTAGGAGATTGTTTGAATGGTGTGTATTTTTACTGAGTTGAATTAAAATTTGCAAACGAAAAGTTGTTAAAGCCAGCTCACTTGATTTTGGTGTTTTCCACTTTTGCAGGCTTTATAGGGAAAAACTGCGCGAGTATCAATTTAAACGACTGAAATACTTCTACGCAGTTGTCGAATGTGATTCTCCTGCAACAGCCAATAAAATTTATGAAGAATGTGATGGACTGGAATTTGAAAGTAGCTGTTCTTTCATAGACCTGAGGTAAATCCAGTGGTGGTTTTATTATATGTTGGGCCAGGGAGGGGAGGGAGAATTAAAGCCTATTTGAAATGATTTGGAGTAAAAGGTATTGTCTTTATTCTATAACCAAAATGAGATGTTGTCATAGTTTAACCTGAACAGATATGTAAATAAATTAGGCTTCCCTTTGATTGTTTTCTTCTTCTTTTTGAGCATTTTTACTGGACTATAACAAGTTTGAGAGGATCTCTGCATACAGAGATTATTCTCAGAGAAGTCATATAAAAATGTTCTGGTTACATCTTCAACCTTTTGGTACCATTAAGTAAAGTCGTAGGAACTAGAAAACAAAACAACATACTGCTGCTCTTCCCGTTTTCCCCCAAGGGTCCAGAAGTGGCTCTTTTTCAGTACTGCTCATCACAGGGCAAGAATATTGCTGCTGTTATGAAGCTGCAATAGATTACTATGCTTGCCTGTATGAATGAGCTGGAAGCTCTAATATTTCAAAAGTCACGTTTGGGAAAGGAAGAGTTTTGAATTATAGTTGTACTTTATTGTTAGTATTTCCCTTTGTTACAAAAAAGCCTTCTAGTCTGAGCAGAAGAGAATTTACTAAATCATAATAAGTTTCAACAGAAGCTGGCTTTGTCTGCTGTGGCCTATGTTATGGGCGCTCTTGGAAGTCAGTGAAAGATAAGTCTTTTGCTTTGAATCATTTTCTAGAGGAGTTTAATTCATTTGCTTTGAACCATTATAGAGAAGATGTTCTTTGCCAAATGAACGAGTAACTTTTCACACTCTTAAACATAAAGAGATGTTTTACAAGAGACTCAGCTGTTTAAAATTCTCCAATGCTATTCCTAATCTTCTACTTTGTTATATTTTAATGTTGAATAGTATTATCATATATTAAATTTTCATATTACATTTGCATTGTTTCATTTACATATTACTTTTGCAGTGATTTAAAAAAAAAAAAAGCCCAAGTTATTTTTCATGCAGTGCACAAAGGAGTTTTTTATCTCTTACTCCATTGTTACACATGATTAGGGTTTTTTTAAACATTTTTTCCCCTACTAGTTGTAATGTTAAAGGTGTACCAGGCTTTCCTAAAATGTTCTGAATTTATTTTTCTTTTTCCAAATTCTGTTTTATTTAGTTTTCTGAATTTTTATTAAGCTTTTTGGAAAGATGGTTCTTAAAAGAAACATACAAAACACCCAGAAACCCACCCCTGACCCTGCGAATGCCAGACTGAAATTTGTGTCGTTTACTTCCGTAACGTGATGGTGTTATATGCTGAAAACCTGGGGAATAGCTGTGCAGAAGCCAGACAGTTAATCTTACATGTGTGGAATACTTGTCCGTCTCTTTCTTTTGTTTTCTTCCCAGACTTACCAAGGTTTTCTTTTAGCAAATTCTTTTGTGCTGATGTACCACACTCATGAAAAGCTTAGAGTGTTTATACTATGATTTCCCAGTGTATTTGAGTAATGATGTGCTTTATTTGCCTTTTAAGATTTATTCCAGATAATGTTACATTTGATGAGAATCCAAAAGATGTAGCCTCAGAAGTGAATGTAGCTGCATACAAGCCAAAGTACTTCACATCTGCTGCCATGGGAACATCAAAGGTATCTTTACAATGGTTTTGTAGTGCTTTTCTAATTTGTTTAGTTTTATTGTCAGCTTATAAATTATATAAGTAGTGGGGAAAAGATTCCTGATTATCTTCACCTTTTCAAAATAAAGACATCAAATGTTTTAAAAGATTTTAAGCATGTTATGGAACCACAAGTTGCAACTTCATAAATAAGCTCAAGTTTTGGATTTTCAAAGGTGTTTGGCTTCTTTGTTACAAATTAAATACTACGTTTTGACGTTATTATACCTCTGTTAAAAGTTGCACGTTTATTACTTTGTTGTTTACAGTTAAATCTTCTGATTTGCCTAAAATGGCTCAACAAGAACTTAAACTGTTGCTTACCCTCCTTGTAGTTATTCATTCGTACTCTGTCTTATGTGACGACGAAAACATTCATCTGGCCATGAAGTGAACCAGATTGGAGAAGTGCTTAGAGAGAAATAAGTAATTTCTGCTGGATCATTTTTCAATCAGATCTGTTTCACCTTCTGGTTGAGCATGCAGTTGCATAAATACTTTCATTGTCCCTCACTGCGATCCATGCATGATTCCAGGAATGAGTTGTTCCTGGAAGAGGAAAGGAGAGGCATTGGTGGCTGCTTCAACACCCGTCTATGCTGCCACAAAGGAAATTTGGCTTACACACATTTCATGTTCTAGGGCCAGCTGAATTTTTCAGCGCATGACTTCTTCATTCTTTCATGGAGTTAAACCTCCTTGAAACTCATGGCAGAACAAATTCCAAAAAGTTGTCATTTAATTTATTTTAGTAAATGATTATTATAGCTAATTGTAGAGAACGTTAGTAACAGACTTGCATAGCTTCTTAAATTAGGAAAGTATTAAATAATTGTCCCTAAAAAGAAGTTACAGTGTTTAATTTTAGTGTTTCACCTTCTACACGTGGCATTCTTATTTTTAAGGTAGATATCACATGGGATGAGACAGATCATGAACGAGTAATGTCGCTTAGCAGAACTTTTAACAAAGAGGAACTTCTTGACCTGGATTTTCAAGCTTATTTGGCTTCGTCCAGTGGAGAAGAGGAGGAGGAAGAACAGCAGCAAGGTATTTAAGCTAATAAATGTTGTCCACAAAGTCAGTAGCTGCAGTGTTTTGAACATAAGTTATTTTAATATATAAATTCCATATCTTTAGAAAATGCTTTGAATGTGATCTTTTATAGGGATAATATTATGCTCGTTGTATAAAAGCTGTGGTCAGGTTTTGCTGTGAAAATAGCTTACCTTTTCTCCAGAGCTAAACGTCTCCAAAACTGGCATATACTTACTTTTTGTGGGTGTGGCCTGAAGCTGGAGCAAAATTGGTAGTGAGCATGTTGATAGTTTTTGTTCACCCTTTTCAATTAGGAAATAAATGGACTGATGACACAACATTGACAGATCCTAAAAATCTTTTTGAAAAGATTGCTAAGTTAGTCATGTTAACATGGAAGCTGTAGCGTTCTTTAAATTTACTAGAACTTGACATTCCTTTTTTCTTGTTTGTTTGAGTTAAATACATTTTCCAGTGTTCTTTATACATAAGAAAACACTTGTACAAGTTTTTAAAATGGGATCTCTAAAGCCACAATTGAGTTTCATGATGCAAACCTTGTTCTCTAAATAAATAATATCACTACTGTGAGCCATGAATTACTACATTATTTTTGAAGACAAAGTACATTAGCTGAATTTGAAGTTATAGCTTACTTAGGAGATTAGTGAGAGTTTGACTTAAGTATTATCACCGTAGCGTTAAAACCCACTTTCTGGTTTTCATTGCTGTACTGCAAAAATCTCTTTACCTGATGTAATTAAGCCAACTATGATGACTGTAATTTGAGTGATTTCTGGTAGCAAGATCACAGGTGATTTAAATAATGGCATATTTTCATTATTGCTGCTGTGATAAATCTGTTAAAGAAAAGGTGCTTTTCATCATACATCTGAATGATTTATGTAGAGAATGTGGTAGCTATTCTGTTCATTCAGTGCTGAATGAAGATCTGCTGCCTTTCTGTGAAGGCTGAGTAACACTGATCAAAAATTACCAAATGGGAGGTGATTAGTAATTATCCTAATGGTTGAGCCCCTGAATAGTTGCTTTCTGAATAGGAGCTTGCACTTTTGAGAGTAGAATAGTTTTCTTAATTTTTTTTCCTTTATCAAGTTTGGCAGTACCTACTTCAATCTTTTCATTTCTGAGATAAAATTATTTTCAATAGAACTGAATGTGCTTCCTTTTCAGAGAAAAAGTCCTAGTTTGAAAAGTGAAGTTAATGACCGAATGAATTAGGTACGATGCTCACTGTGGAAATCTATTTATAGGCTAATAGAGTGTTTTGTCCTCTTCTTGGCCCTCTGTAAACATACTAAAGTCTCTGCAGGGCAAGGATTTACTGAAGAAACTGTCCAAAAGACTCTGCTTGTTGGGGTGGCCTAGACAGGACATTGAATGCACTCCAGACCTTAGAAGATCCTGAGGGAGATATAAATTGTATGGAGCCTTTTCACTTCTGTTACTCCAAAGCTATTTGTCTTACATAGTGAGAGGAAAGGTAAACAGCAGAACATATTTAAGGGAACTTTAGAGTGTAGTAGTAACATCTTTCCAATGCTTTTTGATTCGCATAACTTCTTAAGGCTATAAAGAGAATGTCATCTAATTTCGTAAGGTACATAAATCTGTGCATAGTGGACCAGTGTGAAAATTCCTGAATTAACCTTGCTTGTTTTAACTCTAACATTCAGTCTGCTCTTAATTAATAATATATATAGCCCAAATTGCAAGGCAAGGAAAAGGTCATTAAGCCTTAGTCAGGTCTTTCAAACAGATGTTAAAACTGATTTATACTGCATTAAAGCAGGTTGTTGCAGTCAGAGCTGAGCTTGGAGCGTGCGAAAGAACATTACAGATTTTTCTGGTTATAGAGTTGGGAAATTTTCTGGCAGCAAACTCAGCTTGGCAATATCTTGGCAGGGTTAATGTCTATTTGTTTCTCTGCTTACATAAAAATACACTTACAAACCGCACCTCTGTGAGCTTTATTTTCTCTAGTAATACTTAGTAAAGTATCTAAATGTAAAGTATCTAAATGGGAGCAGTAAATGCACAGGAAACCATTGCCATCTTCTTGTTATGTACAAGACTACTGCTATATTAAAGAATAGCATCTGTAACAGGGTAGTGATGAAAGTGAACATCTGTAAGTGAGCAACACTTAAGAAATTTTAAAAAGTAAACTTTCATTGCTGGGAAGGAAGAGAAATTGACCTTAAGTAATCTTATCACACTAATAAATTTTAAACCTGGAAATGTCCAGATTCTAATGATATTTTGAAAAGTAAGTTATTAATAGAGGAATTATGTTGCCATGTCTTCAACATGTTCCTGACCTTTTTTCCATTCAGTTATGTGATACAAAATAGGAGTCCGGCTGACAGGATTCCATCTAGCAGAATTATGTGAGCTGGAACACAATGGGAAATGCTCAAGTGGGAGAAATCAATGTCAACTGTTTGAATGGAAATGTAGGAGTGTGATAAGAAGGAAGAAATGTTGTGGACTTCTATTCATTTTTTTTTTAAACTTATTAAAATGTTTTATTTATAAAAAGATTTTTTTTGTTGGCTTGATCTAATCTGTTTTTTAATGGATTTTTTCAAGTTAAAATATGTATGTTATGAACGTTAGTATTACTGTTATACAGTAGTGTAACTTCAAGTATATCGGTGACCTGGTATGTTATGGGTCATAGCACAAAGTATCTCCTTTACATTGCTTCTGAATTTTCTGTTACTTGGATGCCTTTGTTCCAGTTAGAAAGCATTGTTGTGTGCATCAAATCCAGCCCAAAATTTCTGTTTTGACCATGAGCACAAGTGACGTAGGGTATGGTATTTTAAATCATGATTCAAGTTAAGCATTACGGTGTTTATGTCTAAGCTTTCATACTATTTTTTTATATCTTTGCAAGAACATCTTTTCTGCTGTTCTGCTTTGCACAGTTACACAGAATACCTGAATAGACTATATGGCAAAATACTTTTATCAGTGTATTTTTAATAGCTGTTCTTGATGGTATAATCATGGGTTCATAGAATATCCTAAGTTGGAAGGGATCCACAAGGATCATTGAGTCCAAGTCCTGATACCACACAGGGAAACCTAAAAGTTAAATGATGTATCTAAGAGTTGCTCAAACACTGAATGAGGCTTGTAGGGCACTCTCTGTAGAGCCTTGCTCTCCGCAGTAGGAGTTTGACCAGGGAACACAGTCTCTTGTGGTATTGGGCTTCCAATACAAGCCTTTACAAAGACAGTAGATCTTTTGGTTTGTGCTGCTGCACCAACGTTGGAGGCATTTTTTTTTAATACTGCTAATCTTATTTTAAGTGATAGATGTTAAATGAAGTCAGACCATTTATTAAATGTTTTTACTGTTTTTAAATCTATTGGGTGCGATAACTCTGACTACATACATAAATTTAAATGCATCTTAAACGATTTATCACATGACACTACAGTCCTCCTTGAGGTCTTAAAAATGAACAGTATTCATACATGTTTATATTTGCTAGAACTGTTGTGAAAGGCTAAGAAGTGGAAGGTGTCAGAAGTAGAACATGCAGTTATTGAATTTTGTCCCTGAATCCAGTAGGTATTTATACAGTGCATGGAATGGGATTATGTTTAGGTTAGCTTCTGTCATTTATTTCTGTATAGCTGCTTTGGACACTCTCAGGCATTACTGCTGCTTTGAAAGTAATGAGGATCTGACTTCTTAGAATATTTCTGTTGCATTAGTTTTGGCATATTGCTAGAATATTTCCTAAGGAAACAAGCTAGCAAGAGGAGTTAGCAGTTTATGGTTTAGCCAATCTTGTGTGGAATTTCATGGGACAGAACAGAAATACCACGACCTGTTTATTTTTTTTCCATGAAGCATCAGAAGCTTCGTATAACTGATGCTGCAGGTGTTGGATATTTTTCCAAAGCATGTTTGCAGGAACTTTTGTGTTGGGTTTGTTTTTTAATTTGAAAAAAAAAAAAATGCTCGGAAGGCCAGGAATAAAGCTCATCTCAGCTTTCCTTCTAAAAACTTTATGCAAGCTGTTGGAGGTGTCCAGTAACTTAGAACTGAAGAAGACATCTGTGTGTGCTTTTAAATTGTGCCAGGGTATCCCTACTCAGAAATGACTAGACAGGAGCCAGCTCTGCAGGCACGTTCATCTTGGCTTATGTTTAGCTGGCTTGGGAGCGTGCTTCTGGGAATGCCAGGTCACCTCTCATGCACAGTCAGGTGCTTAAAGACTGCAGGAGCCATAGTCACCTGGTTTGCAAAGTGAGTTTTAACAACTGCATCCAGTGCAGATCATGCAAGCATTTTTTTCTCTGACCTGAAAAAAATATGAAAACTAAAAAAGCCTGAATATAATGTTACCTGTTCACATTCTCTTCTTCCAGTATCTGTCTTTGCCCTGAAAAATATTTTATAAAAAGATGTCTACTGCGATAAGGTTTGAATAAGCTTATTTTGATTACCTTGAATTCTAAATTTTCCCCTTTTTTTTCATGTGGATGAACTAATGGGATTTGCACAAGTTCTTGTTCAGAGTGTGCTGTGAATCTGGTAAAGTGGGGTTAAAACTTCAGGCTTTTCTTAGTCACTATTTTCTGTCTCAAGACTGAGGTCAGTGCATTTAATTCATCATATCATACTGTAGTACAGTGCAATAACCTCGACCTCAGACTTGCTTCTTGAATGCTGGAGTGTAGAGCTTGTTATTTTTCATTCTGTGGGTCTCATTGTAGGGGTTTTTTTGTGCTATCTGAATTTGAGTAACTGCCCTGGATAGAATTGAGACATTTAGTGTATTTTTATGGTATGGCTATTAGCATCCAGGTCAGTAGCTGAATTTTCTGGTATGCTGTTACATCATGGAGGGGAATTTTATCTTTACATCTTTAAAAGAAACTCAGCTTTGCAGGAGGCCTCTTGTCAAACATTGCGTCTGCTTCAATTTTTCTATTCTCTTTAATGTGTAAGGCTGTGTTAAAAACCA